TTTTTGGTTTGTTTGTTTTGCTTATGAAAGAAACACTACTCTCTGGTGTTTTGTTAAGTTGGCTTCGGTGCGATGGAAGGAGGCATCAAGTGTGTATAATTGAGTCTTCAAATGTTTGTAGGCAGGTATTAGTGTTTGTACTTCGATCTTAAGTTGAGAAAAACGAAACAATCGACACACGGAATAATCTAATGTTTTATTTAACTATTAGTTATTTGATTATCGAATAGTTTACAATTTAGAAAACTCTGAATTATGAGCTTGGATTAGTACGGATTAAAGTTTTAAAATTTATTTAATTGCAATTTAATATTTCATTTGCAGTTAAAATTAATTATATAATATTAACGCCGAGTAAAATTGCAAACCACAATTACCATTAGCAACTTGTAAATGTTAATTAAAAGACAGTTATTTACTCTTCGGTTGCGTTAAGTGAATACCGTTTTCGCAACAATTTTGGAATTTCAATTAGATTTTTCTGTTGTGTTTTAATATGAATTTTATAGAATTATTTGATTACAGTCAATTTCATATATTATTTCTTACATTCTCTGTACTGAATTATAGTCAATTTTGATTATAACATAACAATGAATTGTTTTGTGAAATTTCATACTTAATGACAAACTTTCGTGGATTCGATAAGTTTTAATTAAAAACTGTGATCATGTATTTATTTCATGGTTTTTGTCTATTGAATTCATAAGTTTTTTCTTTTAAAAGTTGGATGGATTAAGTGATTAGGTAACTTGGGTCTAATGTCTAATTCAATTAATACATAGTAGTTCCAGTCGTTAGATAGGATCTGCTGTTATCTGTGATCGCGCGGCGTCGTGTATCATTTACCTCGTCCATTCTGAAGATAGTACTTCCGTTGCAGATCCTGCTCTATCTCTCTGCTCTGGTATCGTTCTTCCTCCTTGCACACACATATACTACACACACACTCGCACAGAGAATGCGGCACCTTTTGGGAACGACTTAATCCATTGCACCTGTTTTCGATCGCAAATCACTGACCGACCACAGGAGGACCACCGCGCGAGCTCTTCGAGTCTTTAACTGGTACGGTGGGTGTACCCACAGGAGGATTACGTGCGTGCTTGCGTGCGTTCGTTCTGGCGATGGGTACGATGGTCGGGTTCGCACTGCTGCGGACGACTATGGTACCCGGATGGATGGTGAGCGCGTTTGTGTGCGCCCTCCTTCGCCTCGAAGAGCTCCGTTCGCGGTTCACCTCTCTTCGCCGCCGCGTCGTCCTGACGTCACCTAGAACAGGTTGTTTCTTTGGTGGTGGCCTCGGCTATCACGGGGGCCCCAGAAGAGAGACAATGCCTGCACCATCAAACCACCAACCACCACTTCTTTGTCTTCGTAACAGCGTAATCAAAGAGCACAGAGCTTTCTGGCTGGTGCATGCCATGGTGCATGGATGGACGAAGGTTTCCTTTCAACCCAAATAAAAAAAGAAGGCAAAAGAGATCCGCCAGTGTTTGGTCAGGAGGAGAGTGTAATGAATGCAGTAGCAGCGAGTTCCCCCTTTTTTGATACCATCTGAGGCGATGATGACATGCCGTCATCGCCGTTCCCGTGAGCTCACGGGATCTCCGTCACCCCGACGTATCAGGTGACGGTGTTATTAATATCGAAAACAGAACAATCCAATGTACGATGTCTCCGGTTGTGTGCATCTTGATTGCAAGCAGCAACAACAACAACAACGTCTTCATTTCCATCCGAGGGGAGCGAAATCGTCGAATCATGCCGCCAACTGCCGCCGCTACACGGGACCGTTGAAAGCGAGATAAAGAGGAATACCAATAATTTGACGTTATCTAGATTCTACGGAAACAATGAGAATTTAATAATAAGCAACCTTTGCGCAATGTTTTGTAAAACGCTGAATCAGACGCATCCATCAGAAATATGTAAGATAACAAGTGTTCTTTCCAAAAGGATATCAATTACTTCAGCGTTATGTAAATTTCTCTCATTAAATATTTATTATATTGAATGTTTGCTTACGATGTGTAAAAAGAAATAACATAAAATTATGCAATTATTATTGTAATATGAAAAGCAGGATATTTTATTCTATTATACTTTTAAAATTCTCTTATAGGAAGGATGAAAAGTTCAGGTAACAAAGAAATTAATTTGGGTGAACAATTCAAAAATCATCTAAATGTTATTTACAAATATAAAGAAAATTGACTAGTTTGTAGACAATATTCAATTAGATAGAAAATATTGCTAAATGCAATAGAAAATAACATGCCATTAAGTATTTGCTATGAGATCATTAAACCTTATATACGTATTTGATACAAGAATATTGTCGACGTTAAACTAGATTTTACCATAAATTTGTATTGCGTTGGTTTCTGTTTATGCGAGGCAATTGCATTAACAATAAAATTCAGTTTAGGTAGAGTCCGGTTGACTCAACCGGCAGGAATTCGTGTTCAGATTGCGCATAATTTCATTGATTTTTTTTACGCAGAACGTAAATAAATCCAAATCCAAGAAACGGAAGCTGTAAATCTACCAGAAACACCGATAGGTTTCCTCTGCGTTAATCCAATTAGCCAAAGACGCTGCAAACTAATTATACAACAAACAAACAGAAAATTAACATTACTTGCGTTTAATAAACATGCACATAAAATGATGATTTGTTTCATCTTACTTTTATTTACATTATTTTCATAATTAGAAAATCCTTATTGTACAAATGATTAATCATTATTGTTGTATAATATTATATAAAATAAAGATGTAATTAAAAGTGATTAAAATCGAATTTTCTTGTATGGAAAATATTGCGTGAAATGGATGGAATTTGAGAAGCGAGAATAAATTAAAATTAATTGCTTAATTCATGAGAGTGAGATGAGTTTTTTTTTTGAAGATTATCGAAGTTCTCGATTCCAATTGGAGTTTTATTGCATTAAACCTGAGCTGAGCGCGGGAATATGCGGGAAATGCCTAAGTCATTCCTGAGGCGAAATATAAATTGACTGACAATCGTAGAAAGCTGTTAAATTATCTTCCTCAAACACAGTCGATGGCAGGCGCATATTTTCTTACTTTCTATATATTACACGGCCGTAAATCAACTCCGCACCGTTCGTTCGTTCGTTCATTCCTTCAGTCGGCAAGTGAAAAGATCATAAACATATCTGCCTTTGCCTAGTTGTTGAGAGATCCGAAGTAAAAGTACATTCCATCAATTGCAAATTTGATTCAACATTTGTAAAGTCGTGAAATTTATACATTGAAGATATGCGGGGCAGTTAGTTCATAAAGTCAATTAACTGGTTGAGATCTGGATAACAACAGTGGAAGGAAATAAATTCAACGTGATATTAATATATCCATAGGTCTGTTCAGATGTAATCGTTATTACCAAATCGCAGCGCAAGTCTTATTAAGATCCGGCAGATACGAAAATCTTGATGATGTTAAGCTATTAGCCCAGTTATCCGAAAACCAATTAAGCAAGTGTTGACTCATTTCGTCCGAAGAAACGACGCGTACACGCCACGCCACGTCGTGTCTTCTCCGTTAAACCCACAGGATATTAATAATAATAATGAAATTGTCGTCGTTAGGGCATAGGATTGATTTACGAATGATTGGGAAATGAAATATGAAATTCCATAAATGAAATTCTCACGACGGTTTTAAGTTTGAATGTTTTATAGCGTAACAAATTAAGTAAATCATTATGAAATGTTAACTCAGTTTGTATGAAGTATTATGTCATACTTACTTAGTATGTATGTACAGGTTTGAAATTGCTCAAATAGATGCTAATAATTCTATTTAATATTTCACTTCTTACAAAAGTTAAGTTAAATTTGCTGGTGCATTTCTCACGACGGATTCTGATCGTGTTATTGATGAATGTGTCTATTTATAAAATATGCATTCGAGTTAATCGATCCGCTTATATGGACTCAAATCTTCCGAGCAAGTGTTGCTTATCCCTTACAAGGTCGGAGATGCAGATAGTTGTGTTTGTTTGTCTACGAAAAAGAGGATGAGCTACAGAAGGCGCGCTTTCAATGCTCGTTCGCTAAGATTACTTGAAAAGAAGAGAGGACATTTATGAATTACCAATTGGCACGGAGCCTGTGTGTGTTTGTGCGCGTGTAATTACTTTTTCTTGGCGAGAGGCCAGTAAATTGCAATTCGTGTTTTTCTTCTTTCTTCTTCGCCATCAACCATCATCGTCCGTTGTTCTTTTTTGTTTGCGTTCATTTCTGTCGTCGTTGTTCTTTGTTGCTTCTTTCTACCCCTCTTTCGATTTCTGCAATTTATTTTTCGAGTTTTGGACGCGCCGTTCGGGCGAGAGTTAATTTCACCGTTGACATTACAATGGCGAATATCTCAATTACGACAATGCACCGAACGAATTTGCATCGCCCTTTTTACTTATTTATTTCCATTCAATGCGACTGAATTCCTGCACTCATCGTGCATGCATGCATGTGTGTGTGTATATGTAAGGACGGCTCAACGTTTCTTTCTTCCATTCTCGAAGAAGAGGATGATGCCTTTTTCTTCTTCCTCATCCTCCTTCATCTCTCTTTTTCGTTTATTTTCTTTTATTAAATTTATTTCTTCGTCTTCACCACACTCTTTCTCTCTCTCTTCATCTCGACTCGCGATTTCTGTATTCTCACTCCTTTTCATCGCCCGATCGCTGTTCACTTTTCGCGGCCGCTTTTTTGCAACGTCTCAACAATGACGACGAAAAGACGATAATGATCGTACGATTTTTATGCATACACGTACGTATGTACGGCTTTGAGATCATCTTCATTCGCATCCATCGTGATCATCATCTTCATCATCTCTTTCTCTCCTTCTTCTTCTTCGCATTTATTTGCCATTAGGCGTAAAACGGCCATTGTAATGGCAATTTCGCTACCCGTCCGAATCGAAACCATTTACTTTTATTATTATCATATCATATCTCCGTTCCAATTAACCGAACATAATGAGTCATCTCGTGTACGGCGGCATTCGGTGATGCCGATGATGATGATGATGATGGAAGACGAGGAAGAAAAGAGCGAAGAAGAATGAGAAGAAGTAGAAGACGGAAAAAGAACATGCGTGTATTACAATATGGCAATGATGAAAAGGCTGGGACGCGCGTCAGGCTCAATTTAGCTTCGGATGAAGAACGAACGAACGAACGTAGTATACCAGCAACAACAACAATAACAACAACACAACTAAATTGAGATTTATAACTGAGTCATATCAACTTTATTAAAGTCCTAATGGCACAACGAAAATCGAATTACCTTGGAATGTCTGCGAGTGATGGAATTGATGAATTGCCTTCCTTCATTCTTCCATCATTTTTTTTTTATAACGTCTAGCGAATTATTAAAATTGACCTAATCTTACTACGAGATCAATAATACTTTCTAAGTTTAATGTTTCTAAATTCTCCAAGTGCTTTATGGAGTTTCACAAAGTTGTGTTCTTCTATAATTATATTTTTGTTATTTATTTAAAATTATTACGAAATTTGAACTAATTTCGAAACTAAATCACGTTTAAATTATTCTATTTGATTTAAAGCAATCTTAAATTAATAGATAATCAAATCTAATTTAACAAATTATAACCTAACCTGACAATAGCTGTCAAAGTGTCGTTCATAATGAAAAAATCCTATTACAATTGACTTAAAGTAATCTTAAATTAATAGATAATCTAACCTAACCTGACAATAACTGTTAAAGTGATATTCATAATGGAAGAAATCCTATTATAATTGACTTAAAGTTAACTTAAATTAATAGTTAATCTAATCTAACCTAATTTTACAAATCATAACCTAACCTGACGATAGCTGTCAAAGTGACATATTAGAGTAAATTAAATTTGAGTTTTTGAAATAATTATTTTTTTTATTAATTTCTTAATTGCCAATAACCTATGTTTGTTATATCGAATTGGAGCTTTGTATAAAATACAAAACGCATTGTCCAACAGATAAAAAAAACTAAGTGAATTTGTACTGTCCAGTATCAAATACTCATTATGAAATAAGATTTACAAATTCGAGAAGCGTTAATTTAATTTGATGTATTCTGCAAATATTGTGTTT